ATATATATTTATTTATTTATATTTAGATATATCTGTATGTGCGTATACACACATATTGTGCGCGTATATGGTGTGCCGCACGTGCAGCAAGTCTATAAGAGTACCGTTGGCAATGTGGGGCCTCTGCGAGGCGAGGAACCTCAGACCTGAGCCTCGCCACAGAATCCTGGACCTGCGCCCCAACAGCCGCGTCAAGGTTACGGGTTTAGAGGTTTAGGGCCTAAGGGTTTAGGGTCGGGTTTGGGTGCATTGAGGGTTTTGGGTCTACAGGGCTTATGCAAGTCAAGACGAAGGCTTTGTTTGGCTTCCGCATCGCAAGAAACGGTTTATAGGGCTGCGCATGAGACTTTGCAAGGGCTGTGTAGGTATCCATAGAGTTTAAAGCAATTAAATATGGAGGCCTCTGACGAATTACAATATTGAGGGGGCCCTAACATAAGCCCTACATTACAGGGTCCTTATTGTAAGGACCCTTGAATAAGGGTCTCCGAGTCGGAAACACCAAGAAGAACGCTGCGGTTTGGCTTACTTTTCCGGCGCACAGGATTTAGGGCATTCAGGCCTTACTATAAGTTTTACAGTGCTCGGATTTATTTTTCCCACTGGCATGTCCGGGATCAATGCCCGCAAGCGAGGTTGCTTCAGGGTTTAGGCTCTCACAACTCGGACATGCCAGGCGAGGTTTATTGGTGCGGGTCGGCGTGAAAACAGTAGGAACTGCTTCAGGGTTTAGGGGTGGTGATTTGGGCCGCGGTGGCGAGGATGGTAGCAGCTGGAAGCGTTGGTGTCAATTTCACTGCGATAGTGACAGTGCCAATGACAACGACGGCGGCAACGCCGACTGCTAGTGCAAAACTGCTGCTACAACTGCTTCTGCTCCTGTCAGAACCCGCCGATTTTGGCTTTCGGAATCCGCCTCCGAGAGTAGCCGTCGCTGCTCCTGCAGTTTGCCAAGAGCCCTGCAGTACCCATGACACATGATTCACCAGCGACATCCGATACCCGCGCAGCTAGTATGGGTGGTTTCGGGCGTGCTGAAGGATTAAACAAAATAATTCGCTTGAAGGATCTCGCAAGAGACGTGCGAGATGTGAGCGAATTTGCATTTGACACCTACGGCTGACGGAACTCGGGTTTACATGGGCTGACCCAATTCCTGCAACAAGTACTGGTGTGGCCTTCGCACTACTTTTGTGCCATCTTGCTCCCTTCTGCTGGCTGTGCTGTAGAAATACAGCTGGTTGACACAAGAAAAGATTGCAAGCACTATTCAACAAGCAGCGTTCTATTCTACGCGAAGAAGCACCTGCAATGGGCCCTTCATGTCGATGCTCTCAACTCAATCCCTACGAACGTTGCGTGACGAAAACTCTGCTACGGGGGGTCGCGGGTCACGCATTAAACGAAAACACATCCCTGAACCTATCACTTGGTCCTAGAGACCCTTGCGCCCCTTCAATTAAAGGCCCTGGCCTCTCGGGCATGCTGCACTGCATCCTCAACGGAGCGCAGCCTTAGAAGACCCGTCTGGCTCTGAAGTGAGTGTGGGTTTGAGAGGGTCAAGGAGCCAGAGTCATGGGTCTGAGCTGCAAAGACTCAGCACGAGCCATATCAACAGTAAGAGAATAGGCTTCGTGAGAATCTGAATCGGGGCGTATGGCTTGACACGGAGACCTGGTGCCAGGAGACATCCTTCCAATCTCTTCACTATCTCGTCAAATGCTGGCCAACGTTTGGGGTCTTAGCCTCCTCGAAGTTCAGGAGTAAAAACCTACACTTTCTGCAGCGTACACAAGTTCTGCTGGCATCTAAGCCTCTGCATACTGTTAGCTATGAACATTACTGACAGAATGCCGCTTCGGGCGGACTCTGCTCTTTTCATCCTCTGTGTGATGGAGTGCAATTTCATGTGCCGGGCAGAAGCACCGAGTGAGAGAGATCGGCTGAACCTACACATCTGCGTAACAGTTTCAGCGGAACCACTACCTGTGATGCTACGCCTTCCAGGAATAGGTCAGTCAGCTACACAAAAAAACTAATCATCGTATGTCATGACATTTTACCCGTGCATATTCACGTTTATGTTCGTTGTTGAACAGATAGACAGGCATAACTCTTAAGACGGAGATGGGTATGGCGCACTTAGCTCCTGCTTCGGAATGCTTCGCATGGCCGGATCTCTGCAGTTCATACAGATGGAGCGACCGGATCCTCTTCCACAGCTGACAGACTGCTAGATCGTGGTTGTTTGCCGACTGGTACGAGCTTGGGGTTCAGGATTTATGGATTTATTGAATGGGGCATGGCGCTGAGAATGGTTGCACCAGTTGCACAACAGCTCGGGGACATGATGCTACGAGAGGACGATAGCTGAAGCAGTAGTCGCAGCAGTTTGGGGCAGTAGCAGTTACATGAATGCAGTGTGCTGCAGATGAATGCTGACGCTCTCGCAACTCGGACTCTGCCACATGTAGGTTTTGGGATTAGTGTTAAGGTCCGGTTTCAGGTGAGGGGTGGGCCAGCAGCTCTGCGACCCTGTTTTGACGCTACTGTGCAGGTAGCCATCCTTTCAGTTTATTAGGGATCGCAAGCAGACCTTGCTTTGCTGCAGCTTTGCTCCAGCTCCATGGACTTGTGACTAGGGCGAGGGTTCGAGCGGAATTTGCGCGCGTCGTCAGCTTGTCGGAATCCTTGCCGCTCCATCACACGGCCCATTGAGCATGGCCTCTACAACAAACCGCGGCTCCACTCCCAGGATGTGAGCTTTTTGCTGAAAGGGTGAGGCCCTGAACTTCAGACGTCCATACCGAGAGTTCCCCTGGCCTTCCAAACTTGGCCCGAACGAACAGAGACCACGACCCTGAAAGAAAACTCCAAAATACGGTGCTTAGACCGTCCAGGGATCGAAACTGAAAGCATCTACAGTCTACAGCGAACCCCCCCTCTCCAAAAAAGCAACAACACACAATAAATGCACAACTCTAGTTACAAATCCTAATTTCCAGACTCTCGACGCTACAAGCAACAGCACAGTCGAGAGCAACAAACACCAGGCTTCGACCTCTGCCCTACTGCTTGACCTCGGAAAGGTCTGAGAATAGAAGTGGGGGCTCAACACTCTTCTTCGGGATTTGTTAGGGCTCAGTTCGTCGAGATACGGCTTGCGTATGGTGTATTGTGAAGTGCTTTGGCATACATATCGTAAAACGCAAGGCTTCCTTCTTGGGACAAGCACAAAGTTTGGATTGAGTCTTTTCGATTCTCCGGTCCCAGAAGAGACCGCCAAACGCAACCCAACAGGCTCTCTGTAGACACTATAAGGTCATGCATCCAGCTCCAAGAAGTTCAAGATCCGACACAAAACCCCAGGTTCTGTTCTAGCGATGTCTATGCAAAAAGTCTTAAACAGTATCTCAAACCAAATCTTTGCTTCCGTGCCTGAGCTCTGTTAGCGTAGCTACTCCCGGATTGGGACAAAACCCTCACGGCGAAGACCCTCCCTCAGTCCCTCAGTCGGCTCGATCGGGCTCCTGCGCATTGGTGCTTTTGCGGGTTGACTTGAGGACTGTTGGGGCTTTGAAGCTTCATGCCGTTGGGGAGAGGCATCCTACACCACATCTAATTGCCTTCAATCGCAGAGTAGATATACGCCACGAACGAGGGCTCTGTGGGTGTCCTGATACCTAGTATAGGGGCTCTCGTTATATGATGAGCAGGTTCCGGTCCAGGCACCGACGGATTCCAAGTTTGCAGCCGCAGGCTCCGACAGTGTATGGTTTTCACGAAGAACCATAAACAGATGAGCTGATGTTATACTGATATTTACTGATATGCAGAATCGAAATCGGATACTCTTGCGAGGAGTGTTCGGTACCAAAGACCCAAATTGTCGCGGCCTTAAGTGCAGCCCTAAGCCGTTGCCACACCAGACCTTCAGCTTCTGAAATACTCGCACGGATCAGGCGGCAGGTGTCTGGCAGGATTGGAAAAAGATAACATCGTGGGAGCCCCTGATGACAGAAACTGCTGCCAGGTTTTTTGCGAGATGTTGGCCTACACGAGGAATCATGTAGAAAAGCAAAACCTTCGTTTCATCGAGAAGCCTCTGAAGCTCTCATAAACCTGAAAAGGCCAACGCCACGATTGCAATCAAAATGTTGAATCTTGGGTGGATGTTGATAGGTGTGCACGGCACCCCGCAGCCTCAAATTGTAAGGAAGTGGTGTCCTTGGCCGTCGGCTTATCGGCGCTTCTTCTTGCTTCCCGGCTTCGCGAAGGCCCAGCTCACATCCAACTTGTGGTCCAAGAGGCTGTTGCCGTCCATGGCCTCCAGAGCAGTCCGGGAGTTGCGCGTTTAGGGCCTGCGGCTTACCGGCATGGCCCCGCTGATAAGAATGCCGCTTGGTGTTGTCGCGAGTGGATGGGGGAAAAACACGCTAGACCACTTCGAAGGCTTCGGGCCTTGCAACGGGTCCGAAGAACAAGGAGTCTGTCTACGCACTGTAGGATCAGGATCCTTCACCCATTCATGTGCGATAATAAAGCAGACTAGTGGCACAGCTAAAACAATTGACTGCCAGCCATCCGGGGAAGATATTAACATGATGAGATTCCCTTCCTTGCTGAGAAGCCTGGCGGCTTGGAGAAGTTCAGGGCAGAACCCTGCGGTATGGGCAGAACACGACAATTGCCTTGATGGCTGCATCTGCTTCTTGCTTGTTCTCGTACTCAATGAAGGCGTAGCCCTTGACGAAACCTCGAACCGGGTCGATCCGTCAGCGAACGTGCGATGTGCTAGAGGCTCGAAACCCTCAACTCCTGAAGCGTTGTTCTGAACCCCAACGCATAAAACAAATGCCAAAACCAACAGAACGAGCTCCCAAGTTCATTCTGCAACTCGGGGCTCCTTCTCGGAGGAGCTGGGCGTTGTGATAAGCTTCTTCAGTATGCATCTTTTGTAAACATGACGATGTAGTAGTGATGACGAACATTATCATCGTCGTCATCACCAAGAAAGGGGCACCGAGCATGGCCACGAGAATAGCAATGTCAGATACGCTTGTAAGCCATGTCAGGTGAAAGGTACTTCTACAAAGCAGAACTCCGAATCATATCCACAGTTCGATCCTGGAACTGCTCACCACAATGACCAGCAGCATCAAGAAAAACGCCTGAAACCAATTTCTCTCCGAATCTCTCCTGACACACGCAGACACAGACACATGCAGATGCCACGCTTCTGTCATCTGTAATGTGCTGCAGTTTGCACTCATCTTCAACACCATCACACCATCCGCCTTGTCGCCATGACAATCAACATGAAGGCAGCGTCCAGGAGGAGCCCTAGACTGTCGCCCTCAGACAAGACATAATAGTTCCCGAACCCCCCATGAAGCACCCACCAGATCAGCTCAAGAAGCCGGTCCGGCGATCCAAGTTGAGGTGCAAGTTCCTGGGCAGGGCTTGGGAGGCAATTTAGTAGCCTTAACGTTTCGAGGTTCAAGGCTTTATACCTACTGTTTGGAGGTTGTACGACTTGACGACTTTTTGGGCTCTCTCCACAACGGCACTCGGGCATTGGGCAGAATCTTCAGCCAAATTGAGGGCAAGCTTGTATTTGAGCCTGAACGGAGTTTTGCTGATAAAGCGGATTTCAAAACGGCTCGAAGTATTTGCGCACCAAGGTCTGGTCCGTAGCTGTCAGCACGGACACCTGCGGGCTACGCCTCCAGACCCTGCACTCTTCGACCTTTTTCCTAGACGACCTACAACTCTCGTCTGCTATGGCCTGGGCCACCTGAACCCTGAGCTGAACCTTAAACGCACTGTTGCACCGAGCTTCTTGATGTCTCCGTACTCTGAGAAAGCTTCGAAGATGTCATCTTCCTGTGCCTCCTCATGGACACCGGACACCTTGGTTTCGGACTTGGCGTTAGGCTATCGGCATGCAGTTGCCAGGACTTAGACTTGACTTGCGCCGTTGGGATTCGGCTTCGGGACTTTGAGGCTCGGCTGGCCGTTCCTTGGCACTTTAGATGCTACGAGTCTCGCACAAAAAAAGCAGGGTCCGCTTCATGGACTGCGGGATTAATTTTAACAGGCTCAGGTGTCAGTGACAGTGTGTAGGTTCAAGACCTGCGCAGCATCGAATTGTTAGTGGATGCCGTGCATTACAACGTTCGCACTGTCAAGTTCGACTTCTCTGTATGGGACGGGGTGGTACAGGGTGAGCTCGGCCGTAGTGTCCGAGTGTTCTGCCTAGATATTGACTAGCCATGCTCCCCGGTGCTCCAGCTTGAAACCTACCTGCTCAACAGACATGACGGCGGCTTGACGAACATGCTGTTGCCTCTTCTGGTAAAATTTAGAGCAGAAGGACTGTTATAATATATCTGGCCGACTAACCTCGTGGAAGGCATGCCGCCCAAGAACCGAACTGCAATCCAGCACCACAAGCCTGGACCTCACATGCCGAAGTTCTTAACCCTGAGATGTCAAACAGCTGCCGCCGAAGTGCAATAACTACCCAGCCCTCGATGGATCGTGCGGCTCCCGTCTCGTCATCATCATCGTCCAGCCTCTCGAATTTTCCGGCCTTTCCTGCGTAGCGATCGTCCTCCTCCAAAGGCTCGAAGCGGAGGCTTCGGGTCGAGGGAGCCTATCAGAGCCCGAAGCTTTTATGCTAAAACAAGAAGCTAGAGCGGCTATGTTTTGGAAATGAAGTCAAAGAGCGCGAGCGAAGTCGTCCCAAGCCCTCCACTGCTACACCCGACAGATTCCGACAGTGTCTACGCTGACAGAGATTTGATGCACCGGAATTGGTCCCGGTCCCGATTGAACCATCAGGATCCAGTAGCCCGGAACCCCTACAAGGACCAAGCCCATCTTCAAGAGCATGCCTTGAAAGTGCTCCGGTGGACAAAGTTCGGACTGCGGCTGCAAACGAAATCACAGATGGACTGAAAGCCGTGTCGAGGACTACTATGGCGTAGTATCATCCGCCGGTTTGAACATCCTCAACCTCACCACTCCATGTCTCTGGCACGCATACTCAAACCGGCTGGCCTAGACCTCAACCTGGCTCGAACAGCACCCCGTAGTCTTCAGTTATGCAGCCTTATAGAGCAACAACCGCAGGCCGCAAGCCCAAATGCGCTCAACAGCCTCGATTGAAAGCTTAGAACGGACAGAGATTAACCCTCGCAGATGCTCTGCGGACGAACCAAAGAGAACAGTGATAAAACGGTGAGCATACTGGCACAGAGTTATCAACAAGCTCTATGCCACAGACTTGTGTTAAGAATGCCCGAAGGTCCACCCCTCCTCACCGCCACGGCCCTTCATCCGTCGTCCGGCAGGGCGACCGCCCTCCTCAGCCACCTCGTCCTTGGCTTCGAAAGCGGCGAAACCTTCCACTGAACCACGGCGACGCTCGGACTAGAGGCGCCTCGAGTCTGGGGATGCGGGCACGAGCTGGTGTCGAATCTCTTGACCCTAACTAATATTAAACAGAGTCGCTCCCCTCCCGAATGGACACTCGAAAAGTGTTTTGATTTTCAGGGTGTAATTACCTGTATCACTGCAGTCACAGTCGAGTGTACTGTACCTATAAAACTCGCATGCTTGGATCCAGCAAAAGAAGGAATGAGAGGAGGGGCAGAGAGAGAGAGAGAGAGAGAGAGCGAGATCGAGACAGAAAGAAGGAATCGTGATGAATCGTGCATCGTCGAAGCTTCGACAGCCGGTCCCCCAAGAAGCGAAAAGCTCTGACAAAGCCTTTTTGTGCTCAGCATAGCACACACATACAGTTACACTCACTCACCCTCTAGTTATGAGGTAAATGCTTGGGAATCTGTCTTTATTGCCTGCGTACTGCGGTTAAAGGAAGAGGCCGCGTAACGGCGCAAACTTGGCTTGTCGGGGCTTCTGAAACCCTAAACCGAACATCCCCAAAACTGGATCCCAATGCTTCGGATTGGCAAAGTCTACAGTCTACGCTCTCATTGCAAGAACATCACCCGACGAATGAAACTGCATTCCGCGCATCATCGTAGTCCACGTCCATGGTGATGGTTCGTTCTTCTGCAGAGTGGGAAGCAAGACCGGCTGGAGCCAGACAGCATCCAGACATTTCTGAGGTCATGAGACTGCTAGCAATCGGAAATGCTATGCTCCTTGTATTCCGGCATATCAAGGCTCACGACGTGACCCAAGCATCACCAGTGGAAACCTCCCCGGAGCGTGAAAATACACCGGCCCGAAAGGCATGGTGCAATGACTGAAGCAATGCTTCTTTTGGGCATAACGCCTTCCTCGGTCTCGAATCAGCCAACGACACCTGATGCGCCCTATAGGCGCAGCACGCACCGTAAATCAGGAACCAGCGCTACGCAGCAATTCGCTGTGCACGCAGGCCAAGAAATTAGTTTCTGCACATCAGCATCACTTGCCAAACGCTGTCTTCATGGCCCTTGAAGGTTTGCTCACATTCTCCGGAATCGAGCGACCACTCCTCCCGGAATGGCACAAAATACAACATGCCAAGCATGCTAGGCTGTGACGGAAGATGGAGTTACCAACGCCTCTCTCTCTCGCGTGCTCAGGGGATCCCATCAGTTACCAACGCCTCAAATCTGGAAACCCCAGGATTATCAGCAGTGCTGGCGGCACGTGGACATGCCAACAACGTACCCGTTGACGCATGTGATAGTTGAAGATGAAACCGGCCGCGACACAGATGTCCAAGTATCTAAGTGGCTTTGCTGGCATCGGGAGTCTGAACCTTCGAATCGACTACTGTACTGCGCAAATCTTCGGCAACACGCAGTCTCAACTACTATGAGCTGAATATAATTGCAGTTCTTCACAGTCGCTCCCTTTAAGCTAGTCCTTGACCGTGCCATCTTCGGAAGCGCTGTAGAGCTTCTGCTGCAAAACAACGGCGCTGCTCACCGGCAGTGTATGCCCTGCGAAGCGCCGAAGCAATTGTCCTGCAAATAGTGTGTCGATGCGACGCAGCGTCCCCACAGAACTTCCCCACAGAACTCTACTAGAGAAATATCGGAAGTGGTTCTCGAGGAATGAATGCACACGTGTGCAGTGGTGGGTGCAACCGTGCTCGGCATTGGCTTGTACAAGGCATCAGGATTAAAAGGAAGCCCACAGAAGTATATGATTCTGCCTGTATGTCCCTCCTGTCTGTCTGCTGTCTTTATGCATCCATAATATATATATATATATATACGTGTGCATTCGCATTTACATGCATACATGGATACATACGTACATATAGCATTACAGAACGCCACACTACATATCAGTACGAAACATTGCAACTTCACAGAACAATACATGACATAACATAGCATATCATAGAACATATCGCATACCTGGCATACGCAATATGCATCACGGCATAACATTCATTGGACACATACAGTACATAGCATACTGCATACCTAACAAACAAAGCATACATAACATAGCTTACATACTTACATACACATACGTACATACATACATACATACATACATGCATGCATAAAAACTTAGATATCTACATATCTACGTACCTGTGTGCCTACATACATTTGCAGATAGCACATGCGTGCATACTTCCAGCTATCCAGCCATCCGTGCAGAAATACACACACATACATACATACATACATACGTACGCACGTACATACATACATACAAGCATACCCTACTCGCATTGCATTTGCATGTGAGCATTGCATGGCATTAGCAACACCATCAAAACAGTGACTGCAAACATGAATGCATGCACATACATACATACATACATACATACATGCATGCATGCATGCATGCATGCATGCATGCATGCATGCATGCCTGCATACATGACATACTGAGTTACTTGCTTGCTTGCTTTCTTTGTTTACTGACTGACCCGCTGGCTGAATGACTGACTTCTCTATGTACCTCTGTACAGCCATCCATCCCTCCGTCCGTCCATGCAGGCATGCATACACACAAATGCACAGGCACATAGACAAAGAAACAATCAATTGTGACGTCCGGAAACGGGGGAGCGGGAACCTCTTCTGGATGGAATGAAAAAGGATTGCACGGTCTCCTGTGAGCAGGTTCCACTCGTTGATCACTGGCTCGGCTCTTGCGCTGTTGTACATCCTCAGGCTTCATTGCCGTGGGCTGTCAGGCCCTTGGACGACAACTCAGATGGTTACTACTGACGCAGTCAGTCCTTTCTCCCACCACGGCCAGTGCCGCGACGTGCTTCCTTCCATGGTCTGGAAAGGCACGGGTCTCGCGTTGAGAGTTGAGGGCCCACCTCGAATGAAGCATCGTCTTTGCTCGGGGCTGAGCGACCCCTCGCTTCAAGCTAGCTCAAAGCGTTGGGGCAAAATTTTGGCAGGGAAACCCGCTGTCGACACAAAACCTGCAGCACTTTGACTGTCCCGCAGAAAAGCCACTCTTTGGCATGTCCATCTCGAGCCCCAGTGACCAGCCGCTTGTGCGTGGCGAAGATTGCATTGATTCTAGCGCGATGCCCAACAAAGGTACCTGATGCTGGGCATGCCGAAGCTGCTGCAGTGAGCATGCAACGAGAGCATCCGTCAACACGTTCACCAAGGTGCCGAGACGTTCGCCCGAGTGCATGTTCCATTGCGCAACAGCATTGTCGTCCTCGGGCGCTGTTGCGAAGAAGTTGTCCTGAGCCACCACAGACACAGGAGACCGCCCTCTTGTTCTGCTGCTACAACTTGCAATTGGTTCTGTATGTTCAGGATTTGTAAGCTGAGACTTCGATTGGTAAGTTGCGGGCTAACCCCGCACCAGTCCGAAAACCATCAAAGCTGGCAGCGAATGGATCTCAAAGCGTCCCCCTTCACGAAGAGGCGGACTTCATCTGTGCGTGGGCCCATGAACTCCCGAATGCATTCACCCGAGTTCAAGGACCACCTGGCTGGCTACCATTGAAGGGCACTAGTGTCGCGACTGCCCAATCCCAAACGCCTAGAATTACCAAAATGCCAGGTGAATTGAGCAACATCTTGTATGTAGTCTTGGCCATCTCATCCATTTCGAGGGTGTCCTCCTGAAATGGCTCGCGCGCTATGATCTGTCTGCCCTACAACCTTGACTGCCTGTAAAACGGATTCGCGCGCCTCGACTGCCCAAGTGAAAAGAAAGTCTACAGTAGCGACAAGCTCCCCGTTCGCACCCAAGTGCTGGAAGGTTCGGGCCCGGTCGCCGGTCTCCAAAGACCACTCCAGCATTTCGCCGTCATCGTGCGAGCTGTAAAGCATGCCCCGGGTGGCAGCAACAGTGTTTGCAGGGCTGTCAGCCACAATGGTCTTGACGCAGCGTCCCTCCTTGATACTCCAGGACTTGATGGTCCCATCTTGTGAGCAACTGTAAACCATATAGTCCCGCTCGCGATTGTCGTACTCCTCGTCTGCACCTGCAGCAGCCAAAGCCCTGGCACGGGCGTCATACAGTGCCTTAAGTGAGGCGCTCACAGCCATCATAACAGAGAGAAGCATGAAGAAGTTCTTCTTGACCTTCACGAGATAAATTGTCTGGAGAACAGCCTGGGGTACATCCTCTCCCACGGTCCGCACGACAGCAAGCATGTCCCAAACCCACTTCTGCTCCGTCGGCAGCGTGACACAGGTAGCGAGCATGTCCATGTGAAGCAGCTTCAGGAGGCAAGCATGCGAAGGGTCTTGGCAGGCCAGGACGAACATCACACCCCACTGCATCAAGAGCACGCCAACCACGTAAGAAATGCCCATGGCCCACGCAAGCACCTGGCAAACCGCAGTAATCCTGATCTAATTACCACCTCCATGCGGATGGTCATCAGATACCTAGACCCCCTAAAGCCGCTTAAAAGGTCGGTTCGCATTTGGGACACGGGGTCTGAGATTGAGAACCGGGTTTTGGCAACTCGAGGTGTTAGCTGATGCTTCTGATGCTTCTGGGAACTTAAGAATCTCGAGAAAGAAGCGAAACTCGATCGTTTTTACCGCAAGTAGCCGCACTTCACGAACTCGCCGTATGCCGCCTGCAAATACCGATGGATGACTCTCGTGATTGTTTGTTGAGACGACGACACTCTGCGGCTGAGGCGGCTTTGCCGCCCGACAAAGTCTTCGGACATTTGGGTCGACCAGCATAATGGATTCAGCCCCTCCATGTTTCGACCGGCCGTCTGCAGGAGAGTGATTGCACAATGTTGTAGAGTGTGAAGCTTTGGCTGCAGAATAAATAATGTCCGCCCCTCTTCATACGAAAGCAGAGCACAGGACTCGTACCTTCGTAAGAAGCGGAACATCAACTCAGCTGCTCGGCGGGCGACTTC